AAATGGCAGCTCGTCGCTCACCAAGAACGAGATTTTGTGTCTCAGTTCCCCTCCTCCATAGGAGAAGGTACAGACTACCTCCTTAACATAGTCCTTCACTATCATGGAGTGCTTATTGGCCAAGGTAGATGCTACAGATCTGCTAAGCCGCTGCACTTGGTCCCCTAAGCGCAACCTATCCACACAAGCATAGTTGTTGAAGTTTCGCGTAGAACCTATGTCGGCGAAGGTACCAACCTTTTGGCCACCTACAATGACTTCTACCACGAAATGTTCACCCTTTGGACCTTTGTTCAACATCGCCCAAGAGTTTCTGGGTCTTTCTCTAACCACTGAGTCTCTAACTCCTCTAAGGACTCAGACATATCTATTGAACAAAGCATCGATTGGTCCGGATCTGTTTGCGGGGCGTTCAAGGGGTCAATAGCTTTGGCCATCGTCTGAAATGGAGAAGGTAAAGTAACCACTTCAACACTAGTAAGAACGACTAACACTCCTACTGGCCCAAGGTGTTTCCCTTGGAAGTGCTCGTAGAAGCACCACCAGAGTTGGAAGATCCAACTGTCACTATTAAGGACGCAACCTTCCCAACGACTCGCTTACTCTTGCACTTGCTCATTATGGTGAAAGGTCCGAAGACCCTGAAAACCACCTGTTTAGGCAGGCTGCATCGTGAAGTGGTGAAGGGTGTCTTGAAGTGGTGATGAAAAATACGATTGTTGTTACCCTTCTCTCCACAGTTTAGATAAAACAAATAATCAGAGACAAACAAGAGGTAGCGGTAATTAAGTTTTCCCTCCAGTACTCACTCAGTTGTTGCCACCTGACTAAAGAGAGAAAGTTGGTTGGTCTGAGCAAGTGAGTGCTCAGTCTCTGCAGACCACTTGAGGGTCAGGGTTAGTTAAGAGTAAACTTAGTAAAAACCAATTTTACGATTTTCCAATTCGTGCCCAAACACAACAAGTGCATGCGATAATTGCAAATCCTGTGTCAATAACTTGCCGGATGTAGTCCTGGACTGATTAGTGTTGATTAGTAGTTAGACAAAGTGACTAATTAAGGATGGACAGATGTCCACTCGTAACCAAGATGCAGCGATTTACAGGTAACCCTATTTTTAAACCTACCCTGTAGGCTTCACCACTGTATGACCCTGTATGCCATACCATGGGTATGGCGAATTACAATCTTTACTGTAACTGACTCAGAACATCAAATTTGGATGTGCGATTTCAGACAGACACTATATACTGAATTGCGATTTACCAGGGACTGACAAAATTGAATTCTGACCAACAGAATCGAAGTTATGACTGACCCTAGTCTAGCCAAGCTTCAACTATGGCAGCGCAGAATTCACATTTCCATTATCACTAACAACAAGACCCTGTACTCATCAATTCACTACATAGGATGAATCGCAATACTGTAAGGCAGTCACATATAAAATTTGAGTCAGAAAGGAAGTCCAACAGGGTTAGTAGAAGTCAAAGATGATAGGTAGGAGAAATCGGCTATGGCTGTTCCACAGTCTGAATTTCGATTTTCAACTATCTACTGACCGACAGACCATAGTTCACTAATCTAAAAATAGACCCAGAATTGCCACACAGAGCAGAGTAAGGAACACACTCACTTCAGGATCAACTCTAAAGAATATAAATGAAACTCTGGCTATGGCTGACTGGTCAACCCCATCTCGCTTGTTTCATCTCCTGTTGATTCCCACTGTTCCCACGTAACAAACGTCCTGAAACTTGGTGATCCAGCAGATTACCCTGAGGCGCTCCACCCCCAACTGACAGGTTCACCGAATTTGGACTCCCAGGTGCAGATAATTGACAATTCAATGCAGCGCCACATCATCATGTATTGCCTTGCTGGAAATTGAGGATCTTGACCCAATTCCACAATCGCAACCTCCTGGGATCACTTCCTTGTTAATCGTCAGTCTCCAGATGAATCATCAGGCTAAAAATAGCCTCTCAGAGCCTCTCAGGCCTCTGAGCACCAATCGCCAACCACTCCTGCACAACCCTAGTCAGGAGTGAATCACCCTCCGTCCAATTCTTCTCGCCACACACTCACCACCACCACCCTTACTGACAACAACCCTGAAGATGATGAATCGCCATGAAACCCAATTTTAGTATCTCGCGAGATGATGATGGTTCCGCCAACTCATCAATCGCTCCATAGTCTGGATCCAATCGCTCCGATACCAACTGTTATGATTCTGGTTGTTTGTTGTCTGAAGGCCAACACTCACTCACATAGACTTCCAAGTATGCCCATACATACACAAAAGGAAGGGGAGAGGATAGGAGTGTCACACCACACAGGGAAAGATAAACACAACGGAAGACTTGACCATCCGATATGACAGGGTACACTAAAAGTGCAATTCACTCCACTCAATCCTCACAACCAGTCATAAAGGAAAGTCGAGTAGATCACATCCAGGTGAAACGGTTTTCACCTTTTAGCAGTAGCGGATGCAGTACCCAGGGTTCGATCCCTAGACCTCACCCTACCTATGTACAGTATCTATATAGATCCCGAGAATTGAACCTGTGACCTGTGTATTCGTAGACAGTTGGTAGGTCTGTCGTAGGTCCATAGGCAACAGGGGTTCGATCTGTAGGTCTATAGCGTAGAAGTCTTAGTGAGTTCCGGAAGCTTAGCTGTAGACCTTCTAGAAGGTAGGCAAGTGGGCAAGTGGTCAAGTGGCGAGGCAAGTGGTGGACTAAACTGCAGTGCAATAGCAGTACAACGTCGGTAGGATAGCGGTGAGTCCACAGTCAGTCAGCGGAAGGTCCAGTCAGTCCCAGTCCGGTCCAGCAAGCACCACGGGGGGGACTGTGAGCACCATGGGCCGATGGCAAAGGGCAGACCAACGAGTTTCTGAAGTATAAATCAAGAGGCAGCGCCTAGCCTTTCATTCATTCCTGCGTGAACCATGCGGAAGCGCTGCCACAGCGACTTGTGCAAGGAGGTCTGCAGTGAGCCCGGAGGACGCAGTGGGCGAGAGAGGAGGAGTTAGCATAGCGATAGGGTAGAGGCAGCCATAGCTGCCATAGCGGTAGTTAGTGGGAAGAGTGTGTGTGCACGTGTAAGTGTTCAGAGTGACGTGTGTGGGATATCCAGGGTGATCCAGTGTGTGAACAGTAAGTTGTTTGGGCGCTAAGTCGCCATAGCCAATTGAAAGTAAACTCGTATCTGGAAGCCATATCTCTGAGTTCCGTGTGGGCGCATGTCGCCAGTGTACTGTGTTGCTGTTTGCACACATGAAAAGTGTGAATAAGACGAGTCTGATTGCATTGGTATCGGAGCTGGTACCCGCTATTCCATGTGCGTCGTCGTATGTAGGAATGATGCGCCATAGCCGAGGTGGCCGCCGAAGGTGACAGTCCGCCATAGCGGACCTGAGGTTGAGGAAGCCGCCGCGCACCTGCAAGAAGACCACGACGAAGAAGAAGAGAGAGAGA